TGAGGAACACCTATATTTATTTTCCAGTCTATTTCTTCAACCTTCCCGTAGTTTTCCCCTATGTGTATTTGATACCAAGAATTGGATGCAAATATGACTTTGACGTTATTTCCTTTGATTTACCCAAAGTCTCTTGCTCTTGTTGAAATGAGAGTCTGCTAATTCATGTCTTTTTTTTTTTTAACAATTTTTGTAACTCTGTAAGTTTCCTCAAATATTACATGGGTATTGTAAAGGGTCTTTTACTGTCTTATAGAGATACTGTGAAGATCAAATAAGATATATAGAAAAATGTATAATTCCTGTGCCCAACTAGTGCACTGTAAGTCATATAATTCAGAAACAGTACTAGCTTGGAAGATCTGAAAGCCTGATTCCTTTAGCCTGTCTCCTGAGAAAGTATTTTAGTGTGTAATCGCTTGCTCACATCTCTTCTGTAGGCTGATAAGCTTGGGGATGTGTCAGTGAACTGCACGTTGACCTGAACTCAGCCACATAGTCACCACCTGAAACCCACATGGCCTTTAGCGAGGCATTTCTAGCTGTTGTTTGATGCACATTTTGTCCATATGAAATGCTGTTTCTAGGAAAGTAAGGATTCTGACCTCTGTCTTCTCTTTGGCATAGGAAACTAGTAGTAGCAAAGTTAAGGCACAAACAATTAGATTTCAAGTAGATTCAGAGGATGTCTAATTTCAACAACCATAACAAACCAAAAGGTGTCTGAAAGCCTAGGACTTCTGATAACTATTTATACAATCCCCAACTTCCCAGAGGCTGTGAGCAGCAGTACGCGAAGGTTCTACAAGTGATGCGTGAGCTTGGTCTCTTGGCTAAACTCTTATGCATGGGGCAAGTAGAGTCAGCATGAAGCAACACTGGGAGGCCTTGGGTTGTAGGATAATGTGAAGGACAGGTCCTTCTCTGTGGTTAGCTCCCCATCCCTGAGTAAAAGACATCTCTGCATAAAGGATGGCATCATATGAAGACTGAGCAAGAAGTCTTGCAAATGGCTGAGACACTTCCTCAGAGTTTCTCAAAATCCGTGGCCAGTATTGAAGGAAAGTCATATAGGCTTCTTGGATTTTATGATTCTCTGTTGAACAGAAGATAGCAAGGTAAACTGGAAAGAATGTGGAGCCTGGGTCTGGTCTGGGTTCTGCTTGGTGTCCTTAGGAAGGTGACATGGCTTCAGTTTCTCCTTCTGTTAATAAGGAATTAGAAAACCCTGTTTTTTAAATGGGGTTTCTGTGTGTCTCAAATGGCAGGCATGTGTATAATACATACAGCTGAAGCAGTAACAGGATTTGAAAACTTGTGTATGGTAGAGCACTCTTTTTGTTATAGATGGGAAGCAAAGGCATGGAGGAGAATGGGGACTAGCTCACATTTGCTGACCTGAGCCAGAAAACCTTACTTCATCCTGTTGTTCTATTTTCATTTCTGTAAGAAGAATGTTATAGAATGAAGTCTTACTGCCCTCCCTGGACTTGTCCATCCTCCTTTCCTTTTTCCAGCATGTCCATATATAAATCTGCCAATAATCCCACATGTGCCCCCCATGGTGCTTTCCTCACATGGATCATATCACTTTCAAAAAAGTGTGCCGTGTCATTAATGCAGAAAAACCGTCCTCTCCACTCCTCAGTTTACTATCCTAACTATGAGTAAATGACATGTCTCTGTTTTGCTCGTTTTCATCTGCAAGTAAAATGTGGTAAAGCCCAAAATAATATTTTTTTTAACCTAGGTCTAACTACTCCTTTTATGTCAACGTTTTTCCACACTTGATTCAAATTTCCTTATATTCTGTGGTACCATAAGCTCTCCCTTTCAATTCCCTTTTCTGGTAATTATGTATGATAATATTTCAAGCTCTTACCTCTCTCACAGTGCTCTTATTATATCTCTGAAACGTTGATCTACAAAATAAATCTAATTTAAATAAAAGAAAATACATTCCCCCAAGAATTTGGTTTGCTAATGTTTTGCTCCAAGTTAGCAGACCAATGAAATGTAAGATTTATCTTAACATGATTTAGTCATTTATAAAATTTCACCAACATTGGAAAATTCTATCAAAAGTCACCTCAGGGTAAACTAGCAGAAAGGCCCACGTGCAAAGTTCAAGGCTTAATTTAAAAGAGAGAACTATTAGATTAAAATGATCGACAGGTCAAGG